TATTTTTTTTTTATTATTTCTGTTTTTCTTATTTTATTTTATTTCTTTAACTTACTTTCTTTTTTATTTTTGTGATTTTTTATTGAAGAGGATCAAAAGTATCAAACGACTTTAAAGACTATAAAAATAATCCTCGCAAAAATATTATAAAAAATAAAATAATTTTCAGTTTTTATTTGATTTTTATTTTTTTTATATTTTAAATTTGAAATAAAAAAATAAAAAAAAAAAAAATTTTTATTTTAACCTGAAAATCAAATAAAAAACATTTAAAATGTCTGTTGTGGCTTTTTTACGAGGAGTTTGTTTGTAATTTTTATATTTTATTTTTTTTATGTGTTAAATTTGCTGAAAATTATCTGAATATGATGATTTGTATGTGTGTATAGAGTAGAGTGTACGAATTATATGATAGCCACACTTTTCCTATATATGTGGTGCTCTTCCATTTTAAAAGCAAAAACAAATTTCCACTTTAAGGATTTCCGATTTTCATTTATTCTTCCTGATATTTAAGAGAACAGCAAACGCTAATGTTCATCGTACTCAAAGAGTAAAATAAAAAAAAAAATATTTTTTTTTTAAATAAAACTTTCCAACAATTTAAAATCTGGGCAATGATGAAGAACACCACTTAATTTTTTTATTGAGTTCTTTTAACAATTTGTTAAGCTGTTAATTTTAAAAAGTTTAATAATTTTTAAACAAATAAACAAAAAAAAAAAACAAAGTTAAACAAAAAAATTTTTTATGGTAATTTAAGTGTGATGAATGAATGACGTCTTTAAAAAGGTGTTGTAAAATTTAAAAGCACACGGTTTGTTGCTTTGTAATTTTGTGGATTTTTATGGATAAAGGTTAATTTTGGATTTTTAAAGTTTTAAAAATACGATTTTAGAGGAAATATAAGTGTATGTACATAGATTTTTATATATATTTCTATTATTAACTTAAATATTTATATTAATCGTCACGGTAAAAGTTAAAATCGAAACTGACCTAAAGTATCGTAAATAAAAATCTTATTTATTAAAATATTTAAAATCAAGCTATAGGAATCCGTGTACTAATTATTTTTTTTTAAAAAAATTACCTTTAATACGGAACATACCGGAATAAGTATAGAAAAATCAGTTTAGAACGTGAACTTTATTAAAATTACATTCTAAATATTTAATAATTGAAGTCTAGAAATTTTCTTCATTTGTGCAATCGGGAAAAAAGTACATCGTAAGCATGTATAAAATTTTATTGTGCTTAGCTCTGAGTGCAGAGTCTGTCTCTAGAGTATCCGCCCGAGATCCACCTTCCTGATGAACGCAAAGACTTTGTGAGATTGGGAGCATCTTTGGAGGCCTACACTGAGTTGAAGTCTAGATGAAAGGGACAAAATTTAAGAGTAAAAAAAAAACCAATAACTTTGAAAAGTTTTTTAAAAAAAATCAAATCTTTTTATTAAAAAAAACACAAATCTTTTGAAAATTTTAATACTATTCTGGTCTCCATAACACTATAGAGAGTGTGAAAGCTATAGGAAACAACTTATGAATTCGAGCTCTTAAAAAATGCTTATGAAAAACTGAAACCTATCCTAAAGTTTTATCCATTCTTTAAAATATAATAAATTTATTTTCAAATTACAAAATCTTCTTACACAATCATGTTAAACGGAAAATTTTGCAATATTGAGAGTCTAGTTACAACATTGCTTCTTTCTCCAACAATATTTAAGCTAATTAAATTGAAATTATTCTATATATTAGTAAATTAGAAAAAATATTTAGTTAATTTTATTATATTTAATTATATTTCTCTTAGGAATTTTATTTCAAAAATTCAATGAAAAAAAAGGCCTTTATTTATTTAAGAAAAGTCATAAATGATTCGTGGGATTAAAAAAAATGAATTAATATAAAAAATTTGGCCTTGTCAATATTCTAACAATTAAAAAATTTTAAAAGAAAAACTCAAATTTTTCATATAACAATTAATATTCAAAATTCTAACCCAATCACAAGTCAATATTAACATATTTACACGTATACCTAACACTACAAGGTTGACATTGTATTCTTGTATTTTATAGACCACACAAATATTTACTGACATATTTATTAGTATAATGATGGATTCATTATTAATCTCCATTTAATTTGATATTAATGCTATGTAAAACCGAAATGATAAATAGTCTACACACATTCATACATATACGTCACATGATATAATTAGAATACCCTTTCAACAAATAATCGAATATAGATTGTTTAACAATCATATATGTATATAAACTTACAAATATGTAAATTGTTTAGGTACACATACATATATGAATACATGTGTACATACATTTTATATTTTGTTTTCAAATTAATAATTCACAAATTAAACAATTGATATATATATATATATATGAATAAAAACGGAGAAAAAAATAAAAGTAGAAAAGAAAAATTTTAATATTCAAAATTATTATAGGACCTCCTAAAGCTATTGACCATTATTATTGGATTGAATCAATATTTGATATTTGGGAACACACACCTATATTCTAAATGTAATAAAAATGGAGAATTTTATTACATTTACGTATATCCAATTACGGCGTTCCATTTAAGAGCATATGGCATTCTAGTGTTATACTAAGTGTAAGTAACATAACTAGAATGCTATATGTTCTTATACACACTATACACTTAGAATATAATATTCTAAAAGTATAATACTAGAGTGCTATATGTTCTTAGTATACATGTAACACCCTCAACTATTAACCAGCTTATAAAAAGAAGTTATGCGTAACCTTAGTAATCATTTGGATTACAATATAGCTCAGTTGGTAGGTCGTCCGCCTAGATAGCGATAGGTCACTGGTTCGAGTCCAGTTCAAGGAGAAATTTTTTTTAATTTCTGTCTTTAACTCGTTCTTTTCATACTTTCATGTTCAACGTCATTCATTTGATCTGCAGTTGTATGAAAAAATTTCTATTAAGTTAATAGGAGTTGTTCGTATTTATTCCACCAGATGTCTCTGTATTTATATATAAATAAACAAAGGGCAAATCTTCAGTGTTTTAATTTACGAATTAGTTTTAATTCGTGTTTAGCAGTTAGTTTATACTCGTGTTTCCATACAAAATAACGTCCCATTTATAAATTACTTCTAACTACTTAGTTCGGAATAATTTTAAATGTTATATTTTCTTAAATAAGTAGGAACTCACCAAATAAGTACGTAATAGTGAATTATAGAATAATAGATTTTGTACGTAAATAGTGAATTATTGAAAAATAATAAATTTTAAGTTAAGTGATTTAGTATGGGGATCCAATAACAATTTCCATACGAAAACAAAACAAACAAAATAAATAAAATCTATACCACAATACAAAAATAATAATTTACCTCATTCATCAATAAAATATTGGGGGCATATAGGTATAGTAAATGAGTGAGTATATGTACTTATATAATCCTTGATTTTATATTATGTAGAAGTCAAATAAATAAACAATAATCGTTAAAGTATTATTATCATAATTACCTGTTAAATTTACCTTTAAGGTGGTAATTTGTTACCATATAGATTTCCAAATTATATGTATTTTTTTTCTTGTTCTTTGATTTTGAATTTTTTGATTTAAATCTTTTCTTAAGAATAATGAGTTTCTAATTTGGGTAAATAAGAAATTTTTATTCATACAACACGCATAATACAGAGAAGTACACGAAATATTTTGCTTGAATTGGAATTTTTCAAAAGAGCGATAAAATGCCAAAATTTAATTCCTTTCGATTATTTATATTTTATCATTTTAGATTAATCGATTTTTCAATTCATAATAATTTTCGATTTATTTATTCACTTAATTTTTTTTATATTGGTATTTCGTTTATTGTGTGCCCACCTATAAATTATGCCACCCAAAAGTTTATTATTGTTAAATGAAAATCCAAAAAAAAAATATCAGAAATTTTAAAATATAAAAGTCAAAATTATGATTTGACATATTTTTGAATTTTCAGATTTTTGTTTTTGTTAGAAAATATTTGATAGGAAGGAAAAAAAAGCGCTACGTAATGCAATTATTTATTGATCGGAATTTTAGTTTTAAAGTGATGTAAATCATAATCATATAGATCCAAACATATCATGAATAAACATATTCTTATGTATGTATAAACATACACATTTATATGTGCTAACTATTCTTTAAAATCGGTATTTGAAGGTGCTCTTGTTTAAATATTTAAAATCCAATTCGAAATATCAAGGTTTGAAAATTTCTAACAAATTATCTTACACAGTATACCTTTGATTCACAGATATACTCTTCTTTACACAAAATTTCACTTTTCCAAAAATTCAAAAAAAAATGTTATTTTTGCGCACCCTTCCAAAAATTTCGAAATGCAGGCCTGAAATTGATGTTACTTAGAAAATTATTTTTCAAAAACAAAATTTTTACTTATCTCTTCACAAATGTTATGTTAAAGTTAGTGTTCCTTTAAGCCTCACATAATTTTTGGGAGCCTTGAAAACGCATAAATTGTTGATATCTAGCTTGTTGTATTGAATTAATATAGAAAATTTTCGAGTTCGGCAAAAGTTGAGTGCTTCCTACTTTTCTCTTCTATTTAGAAGAATTATCACAGAAATTGTTAGTATATGCCAAAATAGTTTTTAAAATTAACTTTTATTCTTAAAAGTTTTCCAACACATTTTTCTTCCAAACGGCAAATCCAATATATTGAATAAAATTGTAGATATGATTTTAACTCTACTAATGCAAAATTTTTATTTAGCAGTTTTATTTCTATGATTTTGGAATTTATTTGGAAACCTTTTTAATCCGCTAAAGACGATATTGGTATGCTTTATTACATTTATTGAAAATTGTTATTTATAGATATATAGAATTTTTAATTTATTAACAACATATTAATTTTAAAACTTTATTTTTGTCAAATTGTTTATAAAAAAAAATTATTTTTGCAGTTGCGGTGTTGGTCGGGCACATTTTGAAAAACAACCACCAAGTAATTTACGTAAATCAAATTTTTTTCATTTTGTAATTGCATTATATGATCGTGCCGGTCAACCAATTGAAATTGAACGTACAGCATTTATTGGTTTCATTGAAAAAGATCAAGAACCAGATGGACCTAAAACAAATAATGGTATTCAATATCGATTACAGTTATTATATGCAAATGGTAAGTTATTAAATTGAAAAAAAAAAATTGTTAAAATATTGAACATATTTTTCTAATAGATTTTATCTACCCCTTTTTCGGCATAACATTTGTAGACATTACATAGATTTTGTTATAAAAATGACATATCGGAAATTATAATAAATCATTTTACTTGAATGCACAAATAATTAATAATTATTCTGCTATTATTAAAATTCACTGACGCGGAGGGGGGACTGTTACTTTTATGAAATTTAATAAACTCACAAATTGGCGTCTGTGACGTTTTCACTACAGCATTAATTAAAACATTGCGATTATTAAAATTATTAATAAGAGAAAAGAAAGCAAGAAGAACAAGAAAAATTATTGTAAAGTAACATTTGCCTTCGTTAATCTCTAATTGTCAAATTACTTTCATTATCTGTCAAATTAATTACTTAACTTCGTTTTTCAAAATTTAATGAACTAAATTATGGTTATTAAAACTGTTTCGAAACAGCAGAGCAGTGCAAAATTTTAAATAAAAAATTGCAATTATAAATGATCACAAACAAAAAACTCTTTTCTCTTACTCTTTTCAAATATACAAAGCGCAGATTTGTGAGTAAAATTCGAGTCTGTTTGTAGAAAATATTTTAAATACTTTCTTTAATATTTTTTAAATTAAAATTTTCATTTGTTTTAAATTTACTCTTACAGGTGCTAGACAAGAACAAGATATATTCGTACGACTTATCGATTCGGTGACCAAACAGGTAAGTGCAATAACAATCCAATTAATATATTTCTAATAAATTTAATTACATTTGTTTGTGTATGTATTAGAAAATTCTTCAGAATTCTTTTATATATAGAAATGTTAGAGCACTTCTAACAATATGGTTGTTAAAATAGTAAATTTAGCACAAAATTTTTACGTGAAAAATAGTCTCAATTTTTTTTTTTCATTTTCTCTTATCCTTGCGAAAAAAAAAATATTTTTAAAACTGTGAATGCGGTACATATGCACATAAGTACTCAACATGAATTACATATAAATATTTTACATTGCAAATTGGGCGTAAAAAAATATTTCTTTTAGACGTATGCTTAGTTTTCAATTCTCATTGAACATTTTGAGAATATTTATTACTCTTTTTAAGGAAGGGGCCAGTAAAAAATAATGTAGAAATTTCAAAAAAAAAAAAAAACCAAAAGGAAAATTTCAAATTATTTCGACTTTCTAATACTAAAAAGAAATTTACAAATAGAATATATACCATAATAGAAGTTGAAATAAAGTGAAAAAAATACTTGTATACCAAAATTCAATGACATAAGGTTCCATTAATAATTGATTGTCGCACTTAATTAAGTTGAATTACCAAACGTCTGCTAGTCATACTTCAATTCATTGACATTATATACACCACATTATTTTCGATAATAATGCATTTAAAATTTAAAAATAATGTTAATAGTGTTAAAAAGGACATTCAGGTTGCATATAGTATAAGAAATTTTATAAAAAATATTGATATTTGGAAATAATAATAATATTGTATAAATTATTCAATTTAGGAATTTTAAGAATTTAAAAGTGTTTTGGGCAGTATACTAGAAATTAACAATAATAATTATTAAATATTTTTAATGTTTACCTATACAATTTAAAAAATATTACAATTAATACAAAAAGACGGTCACACGTTCTAGTATTTAGAGTGTTTAATATATTGGCAACTATTTTATTGCGGAGAATTAACAAATTATTTAGCAGTGACGAAAATTGTTTTAGAGATTAATTATGAATCTGAAATTTTCAGAATATTGAAATATGTTTATTAGAAATTATAAAATAAGTTCTAAACGAATTCAGGAAGTAAAAAATTTTATACAATTTTTATGTTTTGTGTTGTCACATTTTTAAGCGTACAAATGAATTATTTAAAAATATTTGAAGTTCATTCATATAACACTGTGAGATTGTTAAAACAAGATTGGATCATATTATTGTAACTTATCCGATTTTATCAATGTAATTTATGTATTTTATAATTAATTGATTCTTAAAACTATAGTTAAAAAAAATTACATTATATCCCAATGCTATTCAGCATATTGAAATAGCTAAGGTTGGACAACTGTAGTTATACTTGGTCTGGACTTGTTCAAATAATTTCGCGTTGTTATGACTGAGCTTTCATATATAAACTGGAATTGAAAAATAAAATATTTAAATTACAAATCAGATTTTACATTATTAACAATTCTTACCAGATAACCGACGCCACTGGTAATTATTTATTTGCCAAGTACTTTAAATGTCTGTAATTAGAATACATTTAAATGTACATATGTGATTAATTTTTAATTTTTACTTCAGCCAAACAAAAAACAAACATTACTACATACTTACTAAAATAATCAGATATAAAATGTACTCTTTGATATTTACACTCCCGTACTTATACGAAAAATCAAATTATCTGGAGGGAACTTATAAATTGACCATATGTCATACTCTCCCTGATTTGATTGTCCTTTTTTTTTTGTTGTAATAAACATAATATTTCAAGGACAATTAATTTCATTTTATATTGTATATGTACATATGTATGTATATATGCACTTTAATTTAATATTAATTTCATTGTTATATTTTATAAGTGTTATATTAATATTTCACATCGAATTGAAATTTGATTTACTCAAATATCCAATAAATAATAAAATCAATTGTATTTTAAATACATACATACTTACATTCAATATTATTATAGTATGTTATAGAAAATTAATAATATAGAGATGAATGAATATTATTGTTGATGAAATATGAATCGAATCCTTTCTTTTATATACAAATCAACCATTACAATATAGTTATATGTGTAATTAATTACAAATCGTATAATATAATAGAAACTGTTTTTATATGATAATAAAATGGAAAATTGTTGTTAAGGTTTATGTTGCCCTTATATCTAATTGAATAGACCTTGTATATTAGTATATAAAATTACGATATACACTTATATTAGTAAACAGACAATCCTGGGAAAAACTAATAAATTTAATTTACGAATATAATCTATATATAGGTGTGTGCATAATTTGGATATAATTCCTAAATATAGTGTTAAAAATTGAGAATTAAAATTGAACTTTATCATATATTGAAAAATAATAAGTGAATGTCATAATTACAAATATATGAATAAGCATGTCATTATTATACGTATTCCCTTATTGCAATTATAGTTGTAAGATACGAGTGGTATAGTTGTATAACAGAATTATAAAATTCCAAAATACTGATTAATCAATTGATTATGTTTGAAAGTAGGGGATTGAAAAGAAGTAAAGGGTTAAGTAAATTTGATACTCGTATTTATTTCAAATATTGAATTGTGCTGTTAGAAAATTTTATTTAAATTGAAAATGTTTATTGAAAATATAATAAATTGAATACAATGAAGTAGTTTTATATATGTAATACACAAGAGAACCTATGCAGACCCCATTACGTCGAAAAAAACGGAACGTTTCGTCTAGTATGGCCATCAAAAACGAAGAAAATTTCTTAAAAAATGGTCTTAAGTGGAATATTTAGAGTGACACTTGTCCGACACTGGCACGCTTGCTATGATGTGTTTCAAATAATTTCCGAATATAATAATATGTGCAATAAAGAAAAATATCGAATAAATTTTGATTTTCTGTAATGCAATAAACTTCATAGAAACGTTGTTATAAAGCTTTCTATTATCCTACTGGGTATTATTGTAATTTATACGAATTAAATGTTTTTTGACAATGACACCATACTTATCGAATTTAAAAAAAAATTTTCTATTAAAACTTTGCAATTAAATTATTGAGTAGCCATATTTAACTATACTTCTAAGAAAACAATAGCTATAAAATGGAGACCTTTCTATTGTACATCTCTGTAATTATTTATGTATGTGTGTGTACAATATGTAAAATGCATACAATTAAATAATTCAAACGACCTAATTGCGCAACAGAAAATTATGTTTTCTTTGGCCATTTTTTTTTTTTTTGAATTTTTTTTTCTTATTATTATTTTTTTTATTTAATTTTTTAAATCGCCATTTACATAATATCATTTAATGGGCGTTTGCATATTTTTTTTTATTATTTTTTCCAGTTAAAAATTTTGCTTTAACTAAAATGATTTTATTTTTGTCTCTTTTTTTTTTTATATGTACCTCTTATAGATTTACCGGTTTTTGCATAAGTAATGTATGTATATATGTGTGTATGCATGTATTTGCCTAAGTACTTATAGTTATTTGCATATGCAGAAATGTGATTAACAGAAAAAACGACGAAAAATAAACGAAACAAAATATAAGAGATAAACAAGAAAAAACAAGAGTTGAGAAGAGAGAATGAGAATAATTGCAAATTTTTTCTATAGATGGTGTGCATTTTATCTTGCGTTTTATTTATTCTTTATAACATAAAATTAAAATATATTCTATCTCTTTCTCTAATATTGAAATTTGTTTTCGTTCCCCCTCTCTCTTTTATTTTTTAATAATGCCACTATTTTTTTTTCTTACTGATGTTATTTAGTTTTATTTTAATTTTAATCTCTTAAACATTGCATTTTTTATATGTACATGCATACACACTTCCATTCATTTATTTTGTATATTGTGTTGTGAGTTCTGACCATATTTGGGTAGGTGTATAACTGTTTATTATTTAAATAATAATAAGTGTTATATACCAAGTAAATCTAGGTATTCATGTGCATATGCAAGTGTAATTTTTTTTTATTTTAAATTACAGTTAGAGTTGCGGTATACATACATATACTTATACATATATATTATGCACATACTTTGTCTTTCTCTTTTTCATATTAATACTTTAAAAAACAAATAATATACGCTAGCGTACTATAAATACCGTTTAATTCCCTACCATTTTTCATTCTTATAAAGCAGCCATAAGCTTATAAATTTTGTGTTGTTGCACACTAAAAATTGCATTTTTATTCATTTAAAAAAAAAAAATTTTTTTTTGTTTCTTCTTTTTATATTTTTATTATTATTGTTGTTATTATTTTTATTATAATTATTATTACATTCCGTTATATTACTGCAGTGATTTCATTTTTATAAATATATTATACAGTTATTTTATTATTATCATTTAATAAAATTATTATTTTTTTTATAGGGTGTATACTATAAAAAGACGACCTTTGCACATAACTCTTTATGGTGCTAAATTTTTAAAGGTTCTCGTAATTTATGTATGGAATCGTAATACTATATGTGTGATTTTCTAAAATTCATAATTCTTGCGGTTAAACTTTTGTAATCGCGTAGAAGCAGTATTAATCCATATACTCTTAGCTATTAAATTTTTGGGAATACTGACGGACTCCACCAAATTTTTGGTTGTGCTTTAATTATACCTAAAATGTACAGAATTTTATTTTCATTTTTAATACTTTTTTATTTTTGCTTATTTTGTTTCATCCAAAATTTTCAGTTTGTTTCAGTCATTCAAAATTTTAAACCGGCAGTGTGCGCAAACTCGTTAAAGTATCAAAAATACATTGTCATTTTATGGTTTTTTTGGCTTTTCAGCCCTGGATCAGGAGCTTTACTTTTTAATAACGCAATTTTAACAGAAATTCAATATCACGATATTTGTTAAAATTACATAGGATGTGGTTGACTACAAAACTATATTTATTTAGAAAAATTATTATTAATGTAACCGTTTA